TGAAGTGATCCTGAGTAACAAAATCTATTTATGTAGGGGTAATCTTGTTACACTATTCAGGGGAGTCTCAACAACTATTCCAAAGTACAGTTTTCTGAGAGTTTTTCGGCTTGTGACGGTTGCCTGGCGATGAAAATGCCTGGATGTCCACCCCGACAATATTTGGACATTTAACAAATAATTTTTTTCGGAGATGGCTGAATTGTGGAACTAAAATTATTGCCGTATTTTGAGTAACATCACTAAAAGCTGGTGTTAATCAATGATGAAAAGATTGCAGAATAATTTGAGTAGAGATAATGAAAATAACGACACATGAAGTATGAATGGTTTTATTTTAGAAACTTGAAGATGAATTTCACAATTTTCTGCCAAGGGAAAATTATTGTTTCAGCCCAAATCTGGTGGTTCATATAAAATTATCATTGTAGGTCAAATTATTAACCAATAAGTGCTAAACTTTTGTCACAATTCAAAATGTTGATTAACACTTGTAGCCAATAGGAAATTATGTCCATTTGGTACAAAAAAATGAAAAAAATACATAAAAAGAGGAAAACAGTTGTACCAAAATTTTGATGAAATAAAACAAAAACAAAGCATTCACTTATGTTTATATTTCATCAGGTTTTCTCCAGTTTTTCATCACCTGAAGATGTACAAGGATTTTCATTGGTCAATAGGGCTGGAACACCTGCTGCTGATGCCCAGTTAGCCATCAATCCTGCATCCCAAGAACTTCTATTTTCTGGATTTCGTACGCTCTCCCCAGGCGTCTATTATTACCAACTTCCTGCAAAGTTCCGTGGTGATAAGGTAACCTACCATGTTGAGACATCACAAGTTGACAGTTATAATTATAGTGATTTCATTTGTTTTCAACTTTGTGTACAATAGCCAGATGTTAGTGGTTAATGTGTTAATGTGATATCGTGTGTAAAGCCAGAGTACAATTCAACACTAGTGTTTTTTAAAAAAGTTTTTTGTGTCAGGCGACAGTTTCGGACATTGAATGTTATTGTTGTATCTCCTGACTTTTTTTTGTATGTGCAAATTGCAAGTGCTGGTACTGACTGACACATCATATTCATGTTTGGGACTACATGACAGGGCTGTGTGGCAATCTCTCTATCAAATGGCAATTTAATGCGCTATCCTGGTGTCAACCAGGCTCAGTCGAACACAAGCACCTGCGGACCTTAACCAAGGTTCCCCCAAAGTTAGTTAGTTAGTGAATGAATTTCGGCGAGTGGAATAGGCCTTCCCATTGAATCTGTGGCACACTCACCCTGGGTATGGGTCGACCCTTTTGATGTTCAGCCTAAGGTATGATTTGAACTTGGGTCTACCGATCGTGAGTCTGATGCGACAACAACTAGGCTACCAGTGACCGGTAACACTAGTGTGTAACACTTCTTTGTAATCCAGAATACTGGTGCATTTCTGCAAGAACAAAATAATGCCCTCAGGCTCAGATCAGTTTCAATTATCAGTGAAAATCTGGTCTGCAGTAATCACTGTTTAATTACTTTTATTGATTGTTGATAGTGTTCATATTTTATTTCATTTCTAGGTGTCATCATATGGTGGTTATTTACGTTACACTATAACACACAGAGCTAGTCCAGGTTCAAGTCCAATGAATGAACCAGATGTAATGCTACAGGTAGGTGATCTCTCTCTTACATAGTGTATGGTATATATAGCAGTACTGAATTCATGAGATAAAGATATGCAGCTGGTCACTGTGATATGGAAAAACGACCACATGGAAATTCTCACATCTCAAGACAAACGTGTCTTTCTAGAAATATCAATTCAAATGAATCGTCAAGACTGCAACTGTTGTCTAGCACCGTCATCTATTTAAACAATTACAGTTCCACACACCCAAATATCTCATTCAAAAAATTCATTCTTTATTCAATAACTTCCACGTTATTTGCAGGGTAATGACATCACATTATACCACTACAGTGAGAAGTCAGTCTCAACCAATGGTATCACAGCATATCAAGTACCATTCTATGAGGTAATGCTTTCACATTTACATCTGTGCACGTGTCAAACACTTCAACATTTCTTTTTCTAGCCTATTTGTATATCGGTGGCTCTTCCAAACATGGGAACAGGGGTGCAGCGCCTTCATACCCCAGGTCCTCTTTAATACCGAATTGCTCAACAGTTCAGAATGTCTTAATTTCTGAGGTTTCAGGACCTTAATTACTCTCGTCAGATGTGTGCTCACTCTTAACATTTTTTTTCGCAAAAAACCTCTGTAAATAAAAAACACAATGAACCTTTATGTGCTCTTAACTGATTGACGAAATAATATTATATTGTTGTAAATTTGGGTTGAAAATAAATACTAATAATACAACGTCCTGTTGTGTCCCCTGACTTATTTTCATGTGCCAATTTCCAAATGAAAATGATGACACATATTGCATAGCCACAAAAGCCATATATTCATGTTTGGGACTACATGACAGGACTGTGAGACCATCTCTCTCTATCTATTTCATGCGCTATCCCGGTGTCAACTAGGTCCAGTCGACACAAGCCACTGTGGAATTTCTCCAAGATTCTCCCAAAGTCACATCCGTGAGTGACGAAGAGAGTATTCTGTAAAAACAATCCTACATAAAAAATGACTCGAAAAAATGATATTTATAAAAAAACAAACACCCACAGCCATTTGATTGAGCAGTGTGAAAAACAAAATACAGCAACAACATCCTGAAAAGAAATATTCAACTCAAAAATAGAAATACAAATTAATTTATTATTTTGTTTTACAATCTTTTCCATATAGTTCCTAATGATCAACTTTTAATGTCACAGCAAATCAAATCTAATATTGTATTCATTAATAATTATTTTATATTTTTTTAATGATCTTCAATGAAAATTCTAAATCTGATTTCTTGAAATCTGTTTATAAATTTGACTTTAATGATCAGAATCCTGATGAAAATGGCAGACATGTGACTTATGTAAGAATAATTGGGATCATCATTTATTATTCTTGTATTATGATTCACTAAAATATTAGACTTACTGGAAAAGACGAGATGGCGCTCCTGCTATGCGTGTGATGTTGATGATGGCTTTGGCAGATATTGATCTATTGATGGTGAGAGCATCACTATCTACGCATATGTTTGAGTCCAGGTAAGTTTCTGAAGTAAGACATTTAATATTGATAACAGGCATTTAATATTGTTAACAAATATCATGGTTTTCTTCAAATAAATTTAAATATGTTACAAAAATCTGTGACACAAATAATATTTTTTATTTTTAATAATGCATAATTATGTATATTTCTAATTAATGCATAATTATGTCTATTTTTAATTAATGCATAATTATGTATATGTTTAATAATGCATAATTATGTATATTTTTAATTAATGCATAATTATGTCTTTCTAATTTATGCATAATTATGTCTATTTCTAATTATGTATAATTATGTCTATTTTTAATTAATGCATAATTATGTCTTTCTAATTAATGCATATTCATGTCTATTTTTAATTAATGCATAATTATGTCTATTTTTAATTAATACATAATTATGTCTATTTTTAATTAATGCATAATTATGTATATTTTTAATTAATGCATAATTATGTCTATTTTTAATTAATGCATAATTATGTCTATTTTTAATTAATACATAGTTATGTCTATTTTTAATTAATGCGTAATTATGTCTATTTTTAATTAATGCGTGTGTTTGTGTTTCAGTGTTAAGGATGTTTCCATGGATATTGCAGAGCCCCGTAACACAGGACAACCACAAGCCTATCCAGTAGAAGAGTGCAGTTGTCCTACCGGGTACAGGGGTTTATCCTGTGAGGTATGTTGTAACTGTTTAACTGAAAAAATGCAACTATACTACTTATTCGTGAGAAATGGATCAATTATTTTATTCGTAGCACTGAAAACAATTTACTGTAAAAAGCTGTATTTCCATTTGTTCAAATTGTATTGGTAAAGTATGTCACCATCATTGAACGTTTGCTAGATTTTCAAAAATAATTTTAATTCAAATTAATTTGAATTCTTGTTTCTTCTGGTGTGCATCTTTGTGGCAACAAAAAAATGGACTACTGTTGTAAATATATAAAGAATTCAGCAACCACAGCTTGTAATATTATAGTGTTTTATTTTATTGACAGGATTGTGAACTTGGTTATACCCGATCACATGGTGGTTTGTATCTAGGTATGTGTATGCCATGTGGTTGTAATGGACATGCTAGGGAGTGTGATTCAGAAACAGGTGAATGTAGGGTAGGTTATACTCTTAAATGTCTTTCATTATATATATAATTTTAAAATGTCTTCATAATTTCTTGAACCTGTATTGCCGCTTATATTAGAAGCTTTTTACATATGGTGTATGTAATGATTTGAGACTATGAAGTTGAGTTTAGTTATTTGCATAATGATATTGATACATTGTCGTGGAACATCTAGTGGGTATTTAGACTCGGTTTCAGGCCTAGCAGTTGAGCAATAAACACTTCGGCTACAAGTGCTCCTCTCTAGTGCATTATTCTCCTCCCGGATTTGGTGACCAATACTCACTTGGTTCACTCTACCTTGAGAAGTCTGTTCTCAGTTTACAGTGTATTATTTTACCTTATTAGCATTGCATCTCCATATTAAGTTACAGCATCACATAATTTATTACCCAAGGTATCTGCATCCTATCCTATTAGGAAATGCTAATTCCAAATATGGAATGATTACTCAGTATTTTAAGATTCATTTGAAATTCATAAACAAGATAATTGTTAACCTTCTTGCTCATTTCTGTTTTTTTTTACCAAATTTGTGATCTCCGTTATGTAGACATTGGTTGACAAATTTCATTAGTCAGCGAAAATCGCAAAATATTCTAGCAGTCAAAATATCTCTGGGGTCCTGAAATGTCAATGACTTTTGCATAATTTTGTCGCTAAGAATGCCATAATATTGTTGAATCGCAAAAATTAAATGGTTTACAGTACATATCAGACTCTCGCTCAACAAAGATTCGCCATCAGAATTTATTAGACTTCTTACTTACTGTTACTTTTATGTTTGAGCCAAAATTGAATACCATATACTTACCCCTAGTAGTTTCATTTTAATTTAGTTCTTTTAAAACAAAGCAGAAGTTTTAAACAACAACACTTGACACGATTTTTCAAAGTAAACTAAATTGATGAACGGTTAACTGTTTCCGGTTTCAATCAAGATAGTGTATGAACACAAAAGGTTGTCAATACAATGAGCAAAAGGCACAAACTACATGGCTATATGGCTTAACTATGTCTGTAAATGTGATCAGTGTTGGGATTCGTGCCACCATTACATTACTAAGTTAATTACGAGTTCATTATATACCGATAATTGGATTTTATATAATCTAAATTCACTTGCTTCTGTAGAATTGTTTACACAACACTGAAGGGCCAAATTGTGAACGTTGTATACATGGTTACTATGGCAACCCATCATCTAGTACAAACAGTGGCTGTTTACCTTGCCCCTGTCCATTGACATCGCCACAAAATCAGTGAGTATACCTTGGGAATTTATCGTATTTTCCGCCTTTGACTTGTATGCTGTTTAGAAATTATATCAGCTGTTTATGATGAGTATAAACTAAACAAACAAACAAAACAGTTTGTTTCCATAGCAATCAAAATGTTGTGTCAAGTCCTAGTATTCTAAAAGTATTAATTTTCACTAGCGTTTAATAGTTTTCATAGTTTTTGATAAATTATCATATTCATTCGGTTTTTAATTTAGTTTAACAATTAGTTCTGCAGTAAATTTTATCCTATTCAGCGGGTATTTAATTTTCAGAACTAATGCACAGATACGATTAGGTTTTGGTTGAAATCCACACAATATTAATTTGTATGATAATTTGTTAATTTTTATTTGTTCCATGACTGTTCCACTGATATCTAAAGAACCACTCTTTGGATTTTGATACATGACTTGGTACATGTATGCTCTAGTCATAATGATTATTCGCTTTTTCACTGATAGTGGACAGACCTAATAGGGTAATATCCGTGCATATTAATCACCTAATTTGCATAATTAATAGTTAATTTTCAGCTTTCTGACTTACATGTATATCACAAGTACTAATTATTCAATTTCAATGAAACTTGATACATAGATGCTCTAGAACATTGCACAGACCTGCTCAATTTCGGGTTAAATTATAGATCATATTAATTACCTAATTATTTACCAGATTTAAATTGAATTCATCACAGAGGTGCTCTGGAATTAAATGAATGAAAATGAAAACCATGTCTGAAAATCAAATGTATTTTCTGTATGTATTATAAATTTTGATAATGTGAATCACAGTTTTTTCATGTTATGCATCTCAAATAGCAGACAATTATTAGTTGCCAAGTTTCTTGTTTGAAAAGCAAATCTTGAATTTTCAATTAATTATAATGTGTCTTCAATACTCTCAGCACACAGGAGTTCTTTCTAAGCTTTCTTTGATTTTTCACATGATTGTGATTCAAAATGTTCATCTTTGTAGATTTTCTGCAAGCTGCTACTTAGACGCTGACGGTTTACCGACTTGTAACGCCTGCCAGCCAGGATACACTGGTAGAAACTGTGAAAGGTATGTTAATATTGCTTTGAATTGTCAGATCAGTTTCATTATTACCGCCACAGATTTTTCATTTACAATACATTTATAATTAAATATATAGACAGTATACTGTAAATTACTTATTAAGTTAAGTTATTTTCGCTATTTTTGTGAAGGAATAATTCAGTGAAAATAAAATCCATACAAAACACACAAAAAGTCTTTTCAGCGAAAATTAATTCCAGCTAAAATAAAGTATTTTACAGTACTCAAAATGTGTATCTTGCAAGAAAGTATGTTTCAATATATATTTGTTGTTGTTTATTTCAAGATGTGTCTCACCACTACAAGGAGATCCAACAGTGCCTGGAGAAACATGTTCTGAACAAAGCTCAGGTTTGTGAAAATGTTTGTTATATTATTTACATAAGTCAATAGTATCTATTTAATTTTTATTGGCACCATGCATAAATGCATTATTTGATGAGGTAAAATTGTTCCTGACAAAAAAAAAATTTGATTAGATTTTGATTGAAATCCCATGCATAATAATGAGCTAATTTGCATATGAATCAGCCAATTTTTGAAGTAATTTCACTTGCTTCTCGTGTACCATTAAACAGATTTCAATGAAACATGGTACATAGATGCTCTGGGATAATACGCACTCCTGATTAGTTTTTGGTTAAAATATGTGTATATTAATTACCTAATTTGCACAGCTTACTTTGTTGTATCCTTGCAATAACATCATATTATTCTCATTGCAGGTGGAGGTGGTGGTGCAGATTGTCCAGGGGGACAGTGTCCTTGCAAAGTAAGCATAACATGTCTACACTGCCCTCTAGTATTGAAAGTATGCCCTCTGGTGTTCAGAATTATATTTACTAATATATGTACACTGCCCACTATTGTTGAAAGAATGCCCTCTGGTGTTCAGAATTATATTTACTAATATATGTACACTGCCCTCTAGTGTTTGGAATAATATTTACTAATAAATTTTCACTACCTTCTAGTGTTGAAAGTATGCCCTCTGGTGTTCATAATAATATTTACTAATATATTACACTGCCACCTAGTGTTGAAAATATTAATAATATTTACCACTTATTTTGTTTCAAGACTTATAATTTCATTTTTTCTTGCAGGCCAATACTGAGGGACCTAATTGCAATGTTTGTATTCCTGGATTCTTTAATCTGGATGAGAATAATCCAGATGGATGCACACCTTGTTTCTGCGCTGGGATAACAGACCAGTGCCAGAGTTCAAACTATTACAGAGCTAATGTAAGTAATCAAAAAACATAGTACAGTAAAACTTGTCAAAATCGACCATGAGTGGGACTGGGATCTATGGTCGATT